CATTCATGTCTGGCCTGATGTGTTTCTGTTGAGAAATCATTTGATAACCTAATGGGAGATCCTTTGTAGGTAACTCTCTGTCACTCTCTTACAGCCTTTAAGATTCTCTCTTTGTCCTGAACATTTGCCATGGTAATTATGATGTGTCTTGGTGTGGGTCTTTTCAGGTTCACCTTGTTTGGGACTCTCTGTTCTTGTGTGACTTTTTTCTTCCTTACCTCAGGGAAGTTTTCTGACATTATTTCTTCAAATAGATTTTCTAAGCCTTGTTCATCTTCCTGTAGTTCTGGCACCCCTATTATTCGTACATTGCTTCATTGCATGTTGTCCCAGCTTTTGTTTTATTGCCATTTGCCTGAAAATTTTTTCCCATCCCTTCACTATCAACCTGTGTGAGTCCTTTGTTTTGAAGTGAGTCTCTTGTAGATATCAAATATATGGGTCATGTTTTCTTATCCATTCAGCTACCATATGTCTTTTGATTGGAGCATTTAATCCATTTACATTTAAGGTTATTATTGATAGGTATTTGTTTGTTGCCATTTTTATGCCTGTGTTCCTTCTTCCCTTTCTATTTCTTCTTTTTACAGCAGTCCCTTTAGCATTTCTTGCATTGCTAGCTTGGTGGTAATAAACTCCCTTAGCCCTTTGTTGTCTGTGAAGCTCCTGATTTCACCTTCAATTTTGAATGATAGCCTTGCTGGGTATAGTATTCTTGGATTCAGTCCCTTGCTTTGCATCACTTTGTATATTTCATTCCATTCCCTACTGGCCTGATATGTTTCTGTTGAGAAATCAGTTGATAATCTAATGGGAGATCCCTTGTAGGTAACTTTCTGTCTCTCTCTGGCAGCCTTTAAGATTCTTACTTTGTTGTTGATGTTTGCCAATTTAATTATGATGTGTCTTGGTGTCAGTCTTTTGGGGTTCATCTTGTTTGGGACTCTGTGTGCTTCTTGGACTTGTGTGAGTTTTTTTCCCCAAACCAGGAAAGTTTTCAGTCATTATTTCTTCAAACAGGTTTTCTATTCCTTGCTCAGCTTCCCCTCCTGGCACCACTATTATGCAGATATTGTTTTTTTTTTCATGTTTTCTCAACGCTCCCTTAGACTCTCCTCCTGCTTTTTAAGTTATTGTTTTGTGTTTGTTTGGGGTTTTTTTTTTTCAGTTACTGCTCTGCTTGTGTTGTTTCCTACCTTGTCTTCTAACTCACTGATGCAGTCCTCAGCTTCTTCTAGTCTACTGCTCATATTTTCCATCGTGTTCTTTATTGTTCTTTATGTCTTTCTTATTGGGTTCTTTATTTCTTCTTGATTCTTCTTCATTTCCTCTTGATTTTTACACATGTTGTTGAATTTGTCATCCATCCTTTTGTGTCCTTATAACCATTGTTCTGAATTCTTTCTCTGACAAATTGCTTGCCTTCATTCATTTACTTCCTTTTCTGGTGATTCTGCCTTTCCTTTTGTATGGGGGTTCTTTGTCTCCCCATTTTTTCTGTTCCTTTGTGACTGTTTCTATATAGTAGATCAAACTTGTCTGTCATCCAGGTTTTTTGAGTTTGTCTTATATAGTAATAAAAGATGTTTTGTGATAAAAACAAGCACAGAGAGTCCCAAACAAAATGAACCCGAAAAGACCCATACTAAGACACATCATAATTACCATGGCAAATGTAATTGTAATAAAAGATGTTTTGTGGGACCCCGTGGTGCAATCTCTCAGGTCTTCTGGACTGGGTATCCTAGGGATTCCCTGTACTTGGTGTAGTTTTTGTCCTGTTCATGGATGGAGTTTCCTACCAGGGCGTCTGGTTATGTGGCTCACTTTCTACCATGTTGACTGAATAGCATAAAATACAACTCGACAAGACATGACACAAAGGGAACAAAACATAAATGTATTCATGACACTGATAACCCAATAAAAGTGACCAACAGAGAAAAGAGAATTAGGAGAGGGAAAGAAGAACGAAAATTGTATTGAGAAAAGGAAAAAAATGTAATAGAGAAAAGAAAAAGAAAAAATAAATGGGGAGAAAACACCACAAAACAAACAAATAAACCAAAAAAATGCAAACAACAAACACCCAGAAAATGGGGGGAGGGGGGTTGCAGAGTCTGTAGAGGCAGAGTTTATATACGGAAAGTAAGGTTAAATAATTGAATGAATAGGGGAAGGACCATGGTTGAGTATAGAGTAGGTAGAAAGAGAATGAGTGGATAAAAATAAAATAAAAAAATCAATAAATAAAATAATAAAAAGATTTTTAAAAAAAATTTTTAAATTTACCTATTTTTTCAAGAGCTTTTGGAAAAGAATAGAGGAGAGAGCAGACAGGCTTGAGTTTAGTGAGTTAAACTAATTAAACAATTAGGAGAAGAAGAGATAAAAGAGGTGGGGAAAAACAAAGGCATTAAAAAATTGACTAGCAAAGAAAGAGAAAAGAGAAAGGTGCATGGACTTGGAGCAGGGGAGAGGAAATTAGATACATGAGTAATCCAACAAAGACTACAATAATAATAACATGTCAATAAAGCAGATAAAGGTCAATTTTTAACAAAGGATAAAAATAAAGGAGAGAGAAAAACTAAAGTGGAGACAGGAGCAGAGAATACAGGACGAAAAAGGGAGAAGTGAGGAAGAAAAGGGTGGGCAAAAAAAATAAAATAATGATCAAAAATTTAAATAGAATAAATAAAAATAATACAAAAAATATTTTTAAAAAACAACACAAAAATAAAGAAAAGAAATTGTAATAAAAGATTAAAATGTGAAGTGTCATTCGCTTTGCTGAGTTTTAATGCCCCATGGGGGCTGGTTTAAGACCCCACTCTTCTGTTCTGTCTGCCACTTCTCAGTTTCCTGTTGGATAGTCAGCACCGTGTTGAAGTTCCAAGAGATCCACCGCTCCCCTGTGTCTGTCTCCACAGCCTTGGTTGCAAGCAGGCAGGACCAATATGCCCGCTTTGCCTATCTGCCAGCTGTCAGTCTTAATCACTCAAGAATCTTATACACTTGCTTTTTAAATGCCTAGTTGTACAAACTTGCATAGATTCAAAGGGCTTTAATGGTCACTGTAAAATTTATTTCTGTCTCAAGCCCCCCAAAGTAGTAATTCTTTTGGACTTGTCTCCATTGTTTACTGTTTTTCTATCTCCTCATTGCCAGCTATTGTCAGAATACCTCAATATGGTTCTCTTGAACCATCCCAGTTTTCTGATTCTGATCCACTGTGGCTGGAATACCTGAAGTCCACATTGTTAAGAACCATATCAAAAATAAAAATGAATAAATCCCTTAAAGAGCTTTGTGAAGTCTGTGAGCTTTAATGTATGGAATTTTAACATCTTTTTTTATTATTACTACTAGAGGCCCAGTGCACAAAAAATTCTGCACTAGGGGGAGGGGGGGTCCCTCAGCCTGGCCTGTGCCCTCTCGCAGTCTGGGACCCCTCAGGAGATAACGACCTCCTGGCTTAGGCCTGCACCCGGGTGGCAGAGGGCAGGCCCAATCCCTAGGTGCAGCCCCTGGTTGGGCTCAGAGCAGGACCGATTGGGGAGTTGGGGCGCCGCCCCATGTCATGCACAGAGCAGGGCGGATTGGGAGATTGTGATGCCACCCCCTGTCACGCACAGAGCAGGGCCAATCAGGGGGTTGGGGAGCTCCCCCCTGTCACGCAGAGAGCAGGGCCGATCAGGGGTTGAGGAGCTCCCCCCGTCACTCACCAAGTAGGGCTGATAGGGGAGTTGGGGCACCGCCCCCTGTCACACACAGAGCAGGGCTGATCAGGGGGTTGGGGTGCCACCCTCTATCACCAACGGAGCAGGGCCGATCAGGAGGTTGGGGTGCCACCACTCTCAAACTCAGGGCAAGGCCAATGGGGAGGTTATGGCTCTACCCCATAACACAGGGAGCAGAGCCTGTGGGGTGGGGGTTAGGGAGCCGCCTTATATGACCCACAGAGCAGGGCCAATCAGGGGTTGGAGCGCCACCACTCTCACATTCAGGGCAGGGCTGATGGGAGGGTTATGGCCCGCCCCCATCACACACAGAGCAGGGCCGATCAGGGGGTTGGGGCGCTGCTCCCTGTCACACACAGAGCCGCAGGGCGATCAGGGGCTTTGGGCGCTGCCTCCTGTCACCCTGATCCCGGTGCCGGGAGGCCTCTCGGCTCTGTTGATCCCGGTGCTGGGAGGCATATTACCCTTTTACTATATAGGATAGAGGCCTGGTGCATGGGTAGGGGCCGGCTGGTTTGCCCTGAAGGGTGTCCTGGATCAAAGTGGGGGTCCCCACTGGGGTGCCTGGCCAGTCTGGGGGAGGGGCTGAGGGCTGTTTTCAGGCTGGCGAGGGACTAAAGCTCCCAACCGCTCCTTTTTTTCTTTTCTTTTATTCTGGGCCAGCTTTAGCTTTGAGGCTTGGCTCCAGCTCTTAGGCCTCCGCTGCTGAAAGCAGGTTTCTGGCCTTTGTTTACCTTCTGTATTTGAAACAATGTTGAGATCCTGCTGGCTGAAGCCTGATGGACTAAAGCAGGTTTCTGGGGTTTTGTTTAGCTTCTATATTTGTAACATAGTTGCTTAGAGTTGCAGCTCAGAGGCCTGCAGCGGCAGGCGGGGAACATTGGAGTCCTCCGTCACTGAAGCAAGCAAGCCTCATGTTCACTTTAAGCTGCCTGGCTGCCGGCCGCCATCTTGGCTGGTAGTTAGTTTGCACATCTCGCTGATTAGCCAATGGGAAGGGTAGCAGTCGTATGCTAATTACCATGTTTCTCTTTTATTAGATAGGATGATTCCATGATTATTTGATGCATTTCAACCAGCTGAAATTTCTATAAGTGAGGTATAAAGTTAGCTTACACTTTCTGGTTTTGACATTTTTAAGTCAATGTTTCAGAGTTAACCTTTACACTTATCTGGTTTGGGTCTATTTTAGTAATATATACTGAAACTATTATTTTGTTTACTGTTACCTTAAAAATCACTAAATTGTGATAAGTACTATTTTCTAGAAAGCAACCTAATAAATATATTTACATTTTAGGAGGAAAGCATTTGTTTGTCTCAGATGAAGTCCAGAACAATGGCCTCATTGATGCTTTTGGGACCCTTGCATCAGGAAATGCTGATATTTCGCAGAAGTCTATTGAGGTCTGAGTTCCAATTCCAGGTTTTTGTGTTTGTATTTAGCCATATCAAGAAAAATACTTTGGTTATTATAATTTTGAGTTCTATATTTTCTCAAAGTTAATAATTAAAATCAAAAGTAAGTATGTAATGGAAATTCATGGCCGTTCTTTAGATATGGCCAAATTAAGTAGTGAAATAAATTCTTTTTTTCTTTTTCTTCTTTCATAGAGTTTGGTTAAGGAATAACATCAAAATGTTAAATTTTGCCCTAGTCAGTTTGGTTCAGTGGACAGAGCATCAATGTGTGGACTGTGGGCCCCGAGTTCGATTCCAGTCATGGGCACATGCCTGGGTTGCAGGCTCAGTCCCCAATAGGGGGCCTACAGGAGGCAGCGGATCAATGATTCTCTCATCATTGATGTTTCTATCTATCTCTTCCTCTCCCTTCCTCTAAAATCAATAAAAATATTTTTAAATGTTAAATTTTTCATAAAATATAGACTTTACCCAATAATACAGCATCCATTTTTCTATGAATACATAAAAATATATCATACTTTCAAGATTTCTCTCACCCTTCACTGCTGTGAAATAAATTTAGGTTAGATGAATGAACTCAAGAACCTGGATTAGAAAAGGAAGAAAAGTATCTTAGAAATTTATCCAAAGAAAGAGAATGAATAATCATTACAGATCTAAAAATTAGGGTTTCCTTTATGTCTTCAACCACTCTTTTCACTGACTTTCTATTTTATTCATCTCTCTTCTGAACCCAAACCTGTGCTTAAATAACACCCTCATTTTCTGTTACTTAGATTCAAAAACTTTGACTAAACTTTGATTCTTCATTCATGTCCAATGTAAAATGTCAATGTAGACTTTCAATTTCATTGAAAGTATTTTTTACAAAATTCTGTTTTTATCCCTATCCAATCCCACAAAATCTACATCTTCCAGTTCATTGGGTCTATGCCTACATTAAAACTTGACATGATCACCTAAACAAAACTATTTTCCTCTCGTCTCCAACAGTGAAGAGCACATAAATTATAGAATGCCGGATTAGTGCAGGTTGATGTTGAGATCTGGTTTGTAGCTTCACCTTGCAAACAGATCAAAAATCCATCTGGGATCTAGCTAGGCAATATATAGAGAATAAATTGAAGGAGAATAAAACTAATTTCTGAGGGTTTCAACCTGGTTGACTTAGAAAATGATGATACTACTATCTAAAGTTAACAAGTAAAGGGGAAGAGCTGATCTTGAAGATATTGTTTTGTGTTCTGTTTAAACCTTAGTGATTTTTAGTGGATGGTGGGACATTAAAATGGAATATCCTAAAGAAATTTTAAATATAAGAGCGGGACTTGGAAAATCGGCCAGAAAAAAAGGGTCATTTGCATATAGGAAGTGGTCATTTTCTGGGTGTTTGTTGTTTGCATTTTTTTGGTTTATTCGTTTGTTTTGTGGTGTTTTCTCCCCATTTATTTTTTTCTTTTTCTTCTTTTTCTTTTCTCTATTACATTCTATTCCTTTTCTCAATAAAATTTTTGTCCTCCTTTCCCTCTCCTAATTCTCTTCTTAAACTGTATGGAAGGGGCAGAAAGGTTTTTATTCCCTCACTTAAAATGGCTGCTGGAATACAGAGGAAAGGTTGCCTCCCACTCTTCCCTCAGTTATTGTCCCCTAGTACTGCTATGTAGTCAAAGCTTTCTAACTTTCTTACACATTCTTGATGGGGAGTCTAAAAAAAGTCACTCACATTCAGATTAACTTGATATTACTTGGTCCACTTAACATAGGACTGAGATTTTTGACATTGCGATGGTGTTCCAATGGTAGAATTCACTCTCTTATCTCAGTACTGATATGGAGGTATTTTTGGTTAAGGACTAGGTTAGAATAGAAGTTGAATTTCCCATCATTTCCTGGAATGACACATCTGTAGAAAGCACTTTCTTGGTCAGTAGATAAAACTTGCTGTACTTGACTAAGAGCCATCCTCAAAATCTTGAAAAAGTCTCTTTGAGGCTCCTCTCAAAGAAAGATCCTAACATGCACTCCTCAATACTCCAACCTTCATAAATATCCTTTTGCCCTATTTACACTCTTGCTGAACATGTTTATTGTTCAGGGCTATTAACTCTAGGATGTGTGAAAAAGTTCATGAAGTTTTCACATCAGGAAAATATCCATGAGTGCTTGTCTCATTACTTGCTGGTCCTCACCTAACTATGTCTCTACTCAAATACTAGTACTGTAACTACCATCATGAAGATGGGTAAACCAGGGGTTTCTCTCTGTCTCTCTCTCTCTGTGTCTCTCTCTCTCTCTCCGTCTCTCTCTCTCTCTCTCTCTCATACTCTCTCTCTCTCTCTCTCTTACACACACACACACACACACACTCTCTCACACACACACACACACACACACACACACTACAGCTAATTCTTTGACATTGTAGTACCCTTTAATGCTAAAATCTCAGGGGGGTGTATACAAAAACAACTGGGAAAAATAATACAGCCATGTCTCCAACAGTAAAACCCATTCTCCTGCTCTAGTGGTTTTAACTCAGACCCTATATATCCATACTTCCTGACTAACAACTGTCACATCCCAATCAGCTTTCAGAGGGATCCCAAGGCTACGGAGGTATGCCCTATATAAGCTTGTTCTCAGGCCAGAAATTAAGAACTATGTGTTTTAAAAAAGAAAAAAGAATAAAATTACTCTTTTCTCCAGTCACTAATTTTATAATATATATTTATACAGATTGAAAGTAAGGGATTAACACTCAATGATAATCACTGGATGAATGGAACTGTAATAATTGATAGCACTGTGGGGAAGGACACATTCTTTCTCATCACATGGGTAAAACAGCAGCCCATTATTTCTCTCTTGGATCCTAATGGAACACCAATGAACATTTTCACAGTGGATGCTACTTCCCAAATGGCCTATTTCAGTATTCCAGGAACTGCAAAGGTAAGCAATCAGCTTTTTTATTTCCACGTAAATCTGTTTCATAGCTAAAAATACATTGTTTAATATCATAAATATGAGTACCAATACTTGTATCATCTTCAAAATTTAGATAAAATACAATGTACTTTCTATGCCTGCATGGTCCTGAAAATTATAGTGGCAGGAAAAGGAAAGAAGAATGTATGCATTAGGAGGAAGGAAGAGAAGGGAAAAATTAGATAGGCTAAGAATAACTTTAAGGAGGCAATGTAGGGAATCTGTACAGCTTATTAGATTACCAGATCGTAGAATAAAGAATTAAAAATCTCTGAACTCCATAAGGCCAAGACCAAGGTAAACCTTCCAAAACTTATTTTTCCCAGCTGAGATTTCACAAAGTTTGGACACCATGCATGACAATGGCCAGGATGCCCTGTCCAAATTGCCTTGATTTTCATCCATTTTCCTTAAAATAAATCTCAAAAATTTCAAAACCCTGTTTCTTCTGAAACATATTTCTAAGATTTATTTTAGAGTTAGATAATGGAAACACAGAAAATAGCTTGATCTGATACTCTACTTCCATTGAATTTTTAGGTGGGTGTTTGGACTTACAGTCTTCAAGCCAAAGCAAACTCAGAAACATTAACTATAACAGTTAATTCTCGAGCAGCAAATTCTTCTGTGGCCCCAATCACAGTGAACGCTAAAATGAATAAAGACACAAACAGCTTCCCCAGCCCAATGATTGTTTACGCAGAAATTCTACAAGGGAATATACCCATTCTTGGAGCCAATGTGACTGCATTCATTGAATCAAGTAGTGGAAAAACAGAAGTTTTGGAACTTTTTGATAATGGTGCAGGTAATTTACAGTGTTTTCCTTTTTTAAAGAATAAGCCTATATTTTCCTAACTCAGGATATGTTATGGGTCCCCTGACAGTATGGGGGAGTGAGAAACACCAGGAAAATTGATGCAGATTGTGAACAACAGGGACAGCAGAAAATTCTGTTCAGGTAAAACCAACAAAGTGATTAACAAGTGTCTTGCACATAGAAATACTCAATAAATGTTATTTACTGTCATTATTGCTCATCATCTAGACAACCAATGTCTATCACCAGATAGAAAGGTGTCACTCAACAAACTGAGGACAGCATCAAGAATTCTGAGCAAGTGTTTCTTGGGGGCACATCATCAAGAAAGTCTGGCCACAGAGAGTGAAACACAGCAGCCATGAGGGGTTAAGGGATAGAACCTGGGCCCCAGCAGGAAAGAGGGACAGGCAAGAGTAATTAATTCCCAAACTACAAATACAGTCCTGGGAACTGAGGCCCAAGGGCAGGCAGAACTGCCACAAGACAGTAGGGGACATTACAAGGGCATCGGATACCAGGTTTGACTGGCATGAAACAAGACACAGTGTGGGCCATGCTCTCTCCCTGGTGTGCATGGTGAGCAGTGCTTAAAGATCTTTTCACAGACTCTGGGTTATTCTGGAAACTGAACCTTCTTTTGAGAGTTCAGTGAGCAAGGGGGGAAAAAAACACACCAATTTTATAGACATCTGGATTACCATGGATTTTTATCAGTATCTTATGCAATGATATTAATTCAGACCAGTTATAATCCTATCATCAAGAGCTGGCCCGTGAAAAATAGGGAGCTCATTCTAAGGGATATGCTTACAAAGGATATATGCTTGACTTGGAAAATGCATAAATTTCTTTTTCTTTACAATAATAATTCATTCCTTAATTTCTATAACAAGGTGCTGACACTTTCAAGGATGATGGGGTCTACTCCAGATATTTTACAGCTTATTCAGAAAATGGCAGATATAGTTTAAAAGTACGAGCTCATGGAGGAGCAAACACTGCCACACAAAATTTAAGGCATCCACCAAATAGAGCTGTATACATCCCAGGCTGGGTAGTGGATGGTGAGTAACTCATGATATCTGAGACACAGTGCTGGCCGGAATACTTGTGAGTTGATATGGTTAAGGCTTCAAACATTTTACAACTCAAAGTATCGCTTTTCCCATTTCTGGAATGAAGTTCTCAGTCATACTGAGATTTGCCTTTAAATTAACCTATGCTTTGGTACAGTGTCTGGCAGATAGTAAGCATTCAATAAATGTCAGCCATTAAATTAATTTGGAGCACCTTACCTACAGCAACAATATGCCAGATTTTCAACTAAGGGTGAAGGAAACTGGCTAATATGTTATGCACCTAAGCATAAGCCAGTGAGTAAACATTTATTTTGGATATTTTTATTAAGTCAAAAGAAATATGTATTGAGAAAGGTGATGATAAGGATTAAGAATTTATTCCTTATTAATTTTCCTTTGTTTTGTCTCTTATCTTGTGGCTTTTCATTATCCTACAATATCCTAGTCAGGATACTAAAGAAAACAAGTTCTCCCACCAATTGGATACTTATGACTTTGTCACTAAACTTAGTAAAACATATATATATATATTGGGGCAAAAGTAGATTTACAGTTGTTCATGTGGAAAATAAAACAATAATAAATAATATAAGAATAAACTCTGTTTTGCTTAGTAATATATATATATAATATATAATATGTATATGTTATATATATATGTTATATATATATGTGTGTGTGTGTGTGTATATATATATATATGTATATATATATATATATATATATTACATATTCTTTATCCAGTCATCTATCAGTGAACACTTAGGTTGCTTCCATCTTCTGCTCTCAGACATCAGTGCTTCTGGTTCTCAGGCTTGCGGACTTAGACTAAAACTTACACCACCAACTCTCTTGGGCCTCCAGCTTGCAAATGGCAGATCATGGGACTTCTCAGCCTCCACAACCATGAGAGTCAGTTTCTATCATAAATCTCTTTCTATGTATCTGTATATCCTATTGGTTCTATCTCTCTGGGGAATCCCAGCGAATGCACCAGCAGGTCTCACATTCCCCTACCTGTGGCCAGGAGTAGGTTTAATAGGACCATGGGAGGTTTTAAATGCAATTATCAGAGCCAGGTCCCATAGGCAAAGGATTTTTATCTAATTGTCAGCATTCAGTAAGGCAGTGGTTCTCAACCTTCTGGCCCTTTAAATACAGTTCCTCATGCTGTGACCCAACCATAAAATTATTTTCACTGCTACTTCAAAACTGTAATGTTGAATCAGAATGTAAATATCTGATATGCAGGATGGTCTTAGGCGCCCCTTGTGAAAGGGTCATTTGATTGCAAAATGT